GAGGGAAGCTGTTGCATTGTGGGAAACTGCAGTCAATGTCATGAGACAAAGTGTATGTGAGCTGCTGAATAGAAAGTGAATTTGCTCTGTAAACTTTCACCCAAATCACAGTAAATAAAATGAAATAAAACACTTAGAGGTCCCTGGGTGATGCCAACAAGTTAAGAGCCTGACTCGTAGCTGGAAGGTCAGTGATGTAAACCTACCCTAAGGTGCCTTGGAGGCCAGGCCTAGCATCCTCCCAACAGGGCATGGGGCAGTCTGTTCTGCACCAGTTGGGAGTCAACTTGGTGGCAACTAACAACAGAACTGGCCGGTGGCAACCATACTGGGTGGCACAGGACGAGGGAGATCGTGTGACAGAAGCCACCCGTAAATGGGATTTACGAAGCCCATGTGTGAAGACATGTCACATCTTGGTCTCCTGAAGGCTGTATCACGTTGTTGTTCTGCGTATGCTCTTATCTGAGGTCCCCTGACAAACGGAAAATGGCTTCCGATCAGGAAAGGTCACTAAGTGCGGTTGTAAGATGGTCAATTCTGACTCACAGTGGCCCCAGCGTGTCACCTTCCCGAAAGCAGATGGCAGGCCTTTCTCCTGCAGGGGCACACCAGCAAAATAGAAGGCTTCAAGCTTTAAAGAGAAGAACTTCCAGTCGCCATCCCAGAGGCACATTGCTGTGTTGAGCTGTGCACTCCTGGGGCTGTCTGGCGACCTCCTCAAGCCCAAGGTGAGTGGTATGGCATCCACAGAGCAAACCATTTGGGCAGAAGCCTGGCAGCCCTTCCAAGCAGAGATGGCAGATGGGGGGCATTCAGGGCTCGCTGCACCCCAGTGATGAGACTGATGCGGTAAAGCAGAGTGGCTGGGCAGTGGGGCGTCGTGGAGAGGCGGGGAGCCCGAAACTGGGACTGGTAAGGCAGGATGGGGGTGGGGCCTTCCCTGGGGGTCTCTCCTGGGGAAGGAAGGGACCGTCCTACTGAGCCCACTGTCATCGCTTTGTTGTTGTCATGTTTTGCCATCGAGTTGGATCCGACTCCTAGTGACCCCTCCTTGGATTTCCGAGGCGGTATCATACGGAAGACTGCCCCATCTTCCTTCCGAGGAGTGGCTGGTGATTGCAGTAAGCACGGAACGGATGTCAGATGCTTCCGCACGACTCATTACCACCCACAGAGCCTTCTCCAGTCAGCGTTGCCAGCCAAGTCAACAGCAGCCCACTTCCCGCATGTCCACCCGGTCTCTGGTGGGTACAACAGCACATGTGCCCTGATCCGAGAGTGGGCCTGCCAGGAAGGACAAGGACAGACCCCAAAGACGAGAGTGCCCGCCAGGCAGCAGGATGGCTCGCTGTGAGACCACTCCCAGGTCAGCTCTCAGCCCTGCACAGCACGCAGGTCCAGGGAGAAAGCCCCCCAGAGCTGGGGCACGCTGCTGTGGGACCAGGGTGGGGACGCCCAAGTCCTCCGTGAGGGCCCGTGCTCACATGGGCTCCAGGGAGCGGGTGAGCAGGGCCATGGGTGCCTGGATGGCACGCAGCGACGCGGCTCTACCAAGGGCGGCGCTGGGAGATACCGGAGTCCTTCCTGTGGGAATGTGCTCACGCCAAGGCAAGGGGGTGGGGCCCAGAACCGGCTCCTCGGCCCCACATCTGCGGATGCCAGAAGGGACAGTTTGACCTGCAGATGCCTCAGTCGGTGGCGCCAACCCCGAGGACGACACCTCCCAGGTCTCAGAGTAAGCTCCTAGGATGAAGAACTAGAGACAGCTGTCCTCCGACACTCGTCCGGGACAAGGACCACGGCCAGCTGGCATCGGCGCACACGTCACCGTGTCTCGCCTCTTTGTGCATCCACAGAGCCCTGGCTGCTTCCATAAACCTACAGGGCACGCAGGTTACCTATTGCCTGGGCCCCACGACCATCATCGAAAGGCAACAGGGCACAGACCCGGCGGTGAACCCTCACGTTGACCTCAGCTCCTGTGCTGACAAAGAGCAGGCCGAGCTGTTGGCCATTGTGTCCCGGGAGGCCCCCGGGGCGGGCCTTTTATGCCTCGTGGGCTGGTTCATTCAGGCTCTTCAGGAGGGCTTCCTGGAGTCGGGGCTGTCGCTCATTGTCCTCCCGGGCCCCCCAAAGCTCATGTAAATAACGGCAGGACGTGATGTCGTCGAGGGGAGAACCAACAGGTGCTTGTTGGCCGTCTGAATGCACGCAGAGGCGCCTTGCAGGAAAGGCCTGGCAGTCTGCTCCCCAGTGACCAGCCACTGAGACCTCTGCGGGCGCAGCAGGCTGCTTGGGGGCCCACACATCACGTGTTCTAGCACCACCCGGCTGTGAAGCGCAGAGCCTCCGGAAGGCAGGCGAGTGGCAGGCCAGCTGCTGGCTACCGGACGGCCTCCGCTCTCCACAGCTGCAGGGGAGCGTGGCCCGCTGGCCCGTGTGCCCGCTCCCGGGGCCTCTGGTGGTGGGATCCTCACGGGACCCCACGGCTGCCTGTCTGTGCTGGACGCAGCTCTGGGCAGGGAGGTTCCGTGGGCCCCTTTCCAACCCCGTCTGACCCAAGCCGTGCTCTCTGCAGCATGAATGAAAGTGTTCAGCAGACTGGCTGCTGCCCAGGCTCCCGCCTCCCGAAGAGCCCGGGTGGTACGGCCGGGCTGCCCCGGGGCCTCCCAGGCCGCCATTCGCACTGGAGGAGGTCGCCAGGTCTCTCTTCTGCCGAGGACCCCCTGGAGGGTTCAAACTGCGACCATTTGGTTGGCAGCCAAGTGCCTACCCACCGTACCACCAGGCTGCCGCACCCTCAACAGTGGCCACTTTGTCTCTGCAGCCCCCAGAGGGGCTGAGAAGCGGCTGGGGAGGTAGATGGGAAAGTGCCGGTGCACGGGCCCCACTAACGTCACCCCCGGGCCAGTGAGGCCGCCACGCGCAGAGCTTAGTCAGAACGGCTCTCAGCCAGGTCGCTGTCTCGCAGCGGGGCACGGGGGGGGCACCGGGCCCGGACGGCAGGCATCCGGCGTCAGGTAGACGGCACTGCGAGCCACCGGCCACAGAGCACACGGGGCCCGGGCTCACAGAGTGAGGCCCGTCAGCCTGACGCTTAGCTTGGCATCCACTGAGGGTCAGGAGAAGCCCACGTCTTTGTCTCAGGCTCCCTGGTCGGGGGCCCCACCGCTGAGACTCTGAAGGGCGGGGGAGGCTGCTGACAGGGTGGGCTCCGACGGGTCGGACTCAGCCAGGACCCGTGCTCACCGTGCATGCTGCCACCACCCCTTCACTGTGACGGCCCCCACCCCCCCGCCCCCCTCAGGCCCTGTCTCTGTCTTCACACCACCCCCAACAGTCAGCCAGCCTGGGCAGTGGGAACCCCCGCTGGCTCGGCCGTGTCCCCCCGTGGCTCCAGCCTGCCAGCCCCGGCCACTCGCAGGACGGTGGCAGCCCTGCTCACCTGCTCCTGCCTCCTGGCACTCCCACAGGGGGCGCTGGACACCATAACCAGACGCTGCCAACTCCCTCGAAGCCCTCCACCAGCCCCACCATCTGGGTAAAGTCACACGTCAGCTGCCATTCCCAGCCCTGGTGACCTGCCGCACATTGCCTCTGCTCTCCCTGCTGCCGTGGCCCTGGGCCTCCTGCCACGCCTTCCGTACCTGTGATCAGACACCACCATCTCTCTGGAGGGGCCCCTCCTGACACCCCTTTCTGAATCCCCAGATCCAAACCCCAACAGACGGACAGATGAGTGATCGGGGCCTTACCCCCAGGCTGTTGTGAAGTGCCTTCCCGTCTGCTTCTCAAGGTGACACCTCACAGTCATTTCCCACAAGGACTGTTCAGGATGGGCCGCTCGGGACCGGCAGGCTGCGAGGGCGCCATCCCGCAGTCAGAGGGAGGAGGTCTGCACAAGCCTTGTCAATGACTCCAGGTGCAGGAGAGAGACAAGGACGTCCCCCAGGCTGGCCTCGTGGGCCTGCACCTGTGCTACTGGTCCTCCGGTGGCCGGGTGCCCTGCTATCACCGTGCAATGACAAGTGGAGGGCTCATCGAGGAATCGTGGGTCCATGTGGCCTCCCAGATGGAAATTAATCTGCTCAGTAAATTTTGTCAGATAACTTCTATGGAGACCAGATGGGGTAGGAAGCTGGACTTGGGACCCTCAACATGTGGCAACCTTGGGCCACCCACCTGGTTCTTCCCTACCTAACACGGACAATGTAGGTGACTGAGGGAGCACCCCTGAAGCATAGGTACCCGCAGGCGGATGGCCAGCCAGCTTTCCTGATCACCACAGACCAGGTCAGCCACCCTCATGGGTGCCACACGACCCACAGGTGTGAGGTCGACTCTTTAACACACAACCAGCTTAACTCCTGCTTCTTGGCTGAATTCCACAGCAACATTCATGTTAACGGCCATGAGACCTGTGTGTGCTCCACATTTCCTTAGGGAAAAACCATAGTTCTTCTCCCTTGGTGTTTCTAGAAAGCACTTTCCCTCCTCAAAGCTAGGGATATGGCATGTCCTAAAACAACATGATTGTCCTTTTCTGGAGCAAACAACTTACAAAACCACATGTAGTGTGTGTACCCATGCACACACACAAATGCACACATACACACACGTGTACCTCCACATACTTCATGTACACACATGCACATGCATACAAACATGCCTCCACATGCTTCACACATGTACACATGTATACATACGTACCGCTGCATGCTTCATGTACACATGGACATGTACACACATACATACAAGCGTACTTTCATGTGCTTCATGTACACACACACATTCACACAATGCACCTTCAGTGCTATATGTACACACACATGTGCATACATACACACATGGTTTTGTGTGGTTTGTGTACGCAAACATGCACATACATGTACCTCGTGTGGTTCATGTATGCACACATGAACACACACCACATACTTCCATGTGTTTCATGTACACAGTTGTACACACATGTATACCTTCATGTGCTTCATGTACACACATGTACACATACTTACATGTACCTCCACGTGCTTCATGTGCACACATACACATGTTCATCTTCGTGTGCTTCATGTACAGACATGTGCATGTGCAGACATACACACGTGTGTCTTCACATGTTTCATATATACACATGCACACATACATGTGCCTCCATGTGCTTCATATAAACACACACATGCATACACACATGCGTACCCTCACGTGCTTCATGTACATGCACTTGCATACACATACACACATATACCTCCATGTGCTCCATGTACACGCACATGCACACATACGCACGTGCACTTTCACATGCTTCATATGCAAATGCATGTGCACACACACATACCTGCCCTCACATGCTTCATGTATACACATAAGCACATAATACATATGTATACCTTCACATGCTTCATATACACACATGTGCACACATACACACATGAATACCTTCATGTGCTTCATGTACACACATATGCACAAGTGCACCATGTGTTTCATGCACACACACACATGCATACATTCACGTGCTTCATCTACACATGCACACACATGTACCTGTGTTTTATGCACACATACACACATGTGCCTCCACATGCTTCATGTACACACAGAGAGAGACACAAACATACCTTCAAGTGATTCATATACACACATGTACATATGCACACATGCACATGTGTGCTTTCACATGCACACAGCTGTCTTCCCAGCTGCATCCCTTTGAGAAGTTATTTAGCCCTTTGCACTGAAGAGCCATCACGGTATTCCAAGCTACTCAAAACCAAAAACCAAACCAAAGTCACTGCTGTCGAGTCGGACCCAACTCATAGTGACCCCTCCTTGGGTTTCCGAGGCAGTATCTCTTTGGAAGCAGATTGCGCAGTCTTCCTTCTGAGGAGTGGCCAGTGGGTTTGAACCATCAGCCTTCTGGTCAGCTGTCAAATGCCTTAGGCACTATGCCACCAGAGTGCCCAGGCTACTCAAGTTACAAAAATGAAACACCTGCGTGTCTAACTGAAAGCAGTGCAGTTTTAAAGGCTGTCCTGCAGGTTATGTTGGAATAATGCCCGCCTCGCGGTGCCCCGTCTCTGCGAGCATCTCACGGTGCTGCCACGGCCAAGCATTAGGTGAAAGCACTAAGAATGAGCCACGCTTACGGTGGGTGCTGCGACACGAAGGGTTACCGCTCCTTCCCCGGAGTGTGGAACAGGTCAGGATGATGCCCCTCCGTCCCTGAGTGCTGAGCAAACCAGGCGATCCTCAACAGAAGGAGAGTGTGCTGATGGACAGCGCAAGAAGTGTCACCACGCACTAGAGTCCTGGCACACTGAGCGTGGGCAGCAATGACCATCGAGATGAAGGAAGGGCACCTGGGGCACCAGGCTCGAGACTGTGCACACAGGCATGGTGCAGAGCCACGTGGGCGGGGGCAGGGGCAGCTGCAAACAGGAGGCCCCGAGAAGGCTAACGAGGGCAGGACCCCCGCTGCTCAGACACCCACCCGCTTGCACCACTTCTGCCAGCCCTCTCAACTGGGCACAAGCTGAACCAACACCTGGATTCCAGGCAGGCCCTGTTCCGAATACACTGAGAGGCAGCTCTGAGGAGTGGCCTCGCTGGTGTCCTGGGGCCTCTCCCCCCGTACCCTGCAGGGCCTCGTGGCAGAGCTGCGCGCTCTGTACTGCGGTCACTACCTCGGACGCCCAGTCCTGGGAGTGCACCTGGAGAGGCGAACTGCAAAGCTCCCTGGCTGCACACCACTACAGTCACACAGTTAGTACAAGTTTATACGGCTGTTGGTTGAAATGCACTGGGCGATGACTAGTTGCATCAGTGTCTGTGACAGCACTGCCCCTGTGAAGTGCTACATCACCTGGCAAAAAGCCATTTGGCATCTGGCCTGGTTCCCAAGAGCCAGACCACAGCTGAGGCTGCAGAGTGAGTGGGGGCCCTGGCCCGAGGGCTAAGCCTCGTGATGAATGCTGTCCCTGCCCCGTGGGGAGGCTGGTAAGAGCGCGAGCCCTGAGGCTCAGAGGTGCGTCCTGGTTCATGACCAAGCACACGGGAGGGCAGCGAGGCGTGGTAGCTCTGTGCCGGGCCCCTCCTGGGTCCACCTCTGCATCCCTTCATTTCTGTCCTTTATGGTTCTAGGAAGTCTGTAGCCATGAGCACAGTGCACTCTGTGAGATTTCACGACTCGTTCCAGAGAATCATCAAGCCCGCCGGGCAGGGCAGTGAGAGCCAACAGAGGCTGACGTCTGCCTGTCTGGCAGTCTAACAGGTGTCCTAACACGGGAGGGAAATATCAGAGACCTGCTATATGGGCGGCTGGTCTGAAGGGGGCCCACTGAGCGTGTGAGTGCTGACCCAGCTCCGGGCGGCTAGTGTGGGAGACAGAGTGCCGTGCCAGTGGCTGTGAGGGGGGCGGCGGAGAGGCAAGGTGAGCACCGGCCGCCCTTCACTGTAGGGATTGGAGTCCCACGGAGCCAGACCACGCCAGTCTGCAGTGAAGCTGGGGTTTGCCCCGTGCCCCTCTGCGCAGCCCCAAGATGGACGTCATTTATTATAGCGTTAGCATGTTCCAGAAGCACAGTCCCGTCCCTACACAATTCGCTATGTTATCACTAATTACAATACGCTGTGGAACGGCAAAGCCTAAGAACACTGTCCCACGACTAACACAATCCCACACTAACTCCTACTAACTCCATCTACCGAAGCAGAGGCTCTTAGTCACAGGCGCATCGTTGTGAGCACGTGTGACATGTCTTCGTAACCAAAGGTCAGACCCACTTACGGGATTTGATCCCACAGATCGGGATCGGGACTTTGGCAGCCCCGTGGATGACTTCATAGTCGTATACCTTACGTACTTAAAGTACGGAAGAGCCAGGAAATCAAACGTCTCACCAGTTTCCGTGGAGATACAGCCCTGAACGCTGGAAACTAGCCAGGCTTGGGACTGGCTCCCACCACTGCTGTTTCCTTCCTCATGTTTTGGCACAAACTTGCAATGTCCATGCCCTTCCTTTAAACGGAGACAAAGCTCTAATCTACCCCCCAGGCCTGTGTTCTGGAAGCCTCCTTACTGCCAGCACATGATGAAAACAAGCATCAGGCCGGTGAAAACCGTTTTCTGGGTAAACGCAGACTGAAACTGCAGCTACTGTCAACACTCAGGTGTTCTGCAAGCCGGGGGCAGCCCAACTGGTAGCAGCGTTGTGCAGTGCTTCCTCCCTGAAGCGACTTCAAGGCTGCGCTGTGTGCACACGGGTGTGCAGTGACAGCCCCGGCGACTGCCGCCTCGTGAGACACCAAACACAGAAGCCAGGCCCTCAACTGAACTTCAGATGTTCTCTGTTCCTTTGGTTAAGTAACGGTTTACTTCCTAAAAATGGTGATTACTTCCATACGTGTGAGAAACATTCTGCTATCAAAACTAAATCATGTTAAAGAGCTTTTGACACACGGCGCGCAGACTCAAAGCAGGTTAACTGTACCTATAGCTGGAAGAGAATTAAAAAACTGAGTCAATAGAAGTCCATTCTAAAGGCGCTGAAGCAGTTCATGGCCAAGCTCTAAACTTGACCCACAAAGAAGGCGGTTAACTCCTTTCCCAGCTGGTGTTTCTCGTCACAGTGGGATCTTCGCCCGATTCCCACCCTGTTGACGATGTTTATAGCACAAGGTGGAACAATGTTCTCAGGAAGGCCACCAAACACACCCCGATTTCCCCTCGGAGGACATTCCCACATGGGTGACTCGGAACAGCCCCTCCCCAACTGTTTTTCCGAGACACCATTAGCAGGTTTAACGGGCCCCTTCCTCACTGTGTGGCCTGTGCTAGGGGGGCCACATCCTCTGACTCGCACATCAGTTCCCACCCCTTCTGGTTCAAACACATAGGGGACCCGCCTTCCAGTGTGAAGGGGCCCCCAGCGTGAACATGGCCCTTGGGCGGCTGCTTGCAGCCCTCCACGCGGGCCGTGAGCACTCGCGACGCCAGGAGGCAGGGCACGTGCTCTTGTCCGTGTTTCCTGGAAACCGGGACAGCCGAATGGGTTTGTGTTTCTGGGTCTCCCAAGTCCCACCCTTGCCGGGCGCTGTCTTACACTCGCCCATCATTCCTTCTAGCGGAAACTATTTGAGTTTTCCTTCTTGGACAGGGTTCCACCTTACATGGGTCCCAGCTTGGGTACCTTTTACCGCATCAGAAAGCAGGATTGCAGAGTAGCAGCTAGAGCTGACGACGAAGGCAGGAGTAGCTGTGTGCAAGCTTTGTAAGGACTCGGTCAGGAAACTCCAGGAGAAGCCTGAACCAGTAGACCTGAGGGCCCTGCAGCATGCAGCCGTCTCTGCCTCTCGCAGGCGGACCCACTTTGACAGGCACAGGGGCCACGTTTCCCCGGAGAAGAATCACGGTGGGGTTCGAACATACACGTTGATGATGGCAGAGGAAGCTGCGGCCTCCGGCTGGACGCCGTACCTGGACGGTGTGGGGAAGCCGGACCACGGCCAAGTGCGTCCTCCCCTGCAAACGCTGCTGCTCGCTGCGCAGAGGGGACACCCGTGCGGCCTCACTGCCGCTTTTCCTAGCCACCTCTCAGCACTGTGGCAGAGACAGAGACTGGAGACAAGTCAAAGCCGTAATCCCTGGAACACGGAGCGGCTGCAGCCTCTCGGGGGAACACTGACAGGCCGTCTGCTTTGCACGCGCACAAGTACACACACAAGAGCCGCTCTCCAGCCCTCACGAGCTCCCACCAAGGCGGGACCCTCCAGCCGGGTGGCCACAGGTGTGACGGGCTCTCCGAGGGGAGGCAGGGCAGGTCGGGAGGACCCGAGGGGACGAGCCCCTGGCACTGGCAGGTCAGCAGCGGCTGCACGCTTGGAGTGACGTGGACACAGGCCAAGGACACCAAGGACCCCAGCCCTCCCCAGGAGCTGGCAGAGGGAACAGGCAGCGCCCTCGGCATCTTGGGAGGAAGCAGCCCTGGCTACGCTTGGGTGTGGGCCTGGCCCCCAGGACGGTCAGAGAATCAGTGTCTAGCGTTCTAAGAAGCAAACGTGAACACTTCGTTCTCACAGCCCTAGGAAACTAACACAGCGGCACGGGGGAGGCAGAAGGCCCTGCCGGGGTCCGAGAACGGGGCGTCCGGGCTGCCGAGCTCCTGGGCCTGGGAGAGGCAGCCACGTGGGAGGCTCCAGGAAGCACGAGCCGACGGAAGGCCAGCTGCTCACTCCGAGGTCCCTCAAACCATCTGCACACTGTCTTCCATGAAACATGGCAGGGACAGACAAGGTGGCCCTGCTTTGAGGCCTAGGAGGACTCCGCAGGGAGGCTGTCGTAAAGATGGGACTCTGAGGGGTCATGAATGTTGCTGTAGGAGTCTCCTGTCACCGCGGTAACAAACCAGCACAGCCTGGCGGCTTGACAGAGACATGGATTCCACACCTGGAGCCAAGGTCTGACACCAAGGTGTGGGCGTGGTCAGCGTCTGGTGGTTCCAAGGCCCCTTTTAATTCATTCTGGCTGCATCGCTCGTCTCGGCCTCTGTCCCCCCACAGCTGTCCTGTGCGTACTGTGTGGTAAGTATGCCTGTATGTGTAGCGTGTGTGGTATGTGTATATATGTGTAGTGTGTGTGGTGTGATGAGTATGTGGTGTGTGGATGTGGTGTGTGTGACGTGTGTGGATGTGTAGTGTGTGTGCTGTGTATATGCATATGTGTGTGGTGTGATGACTGTGGTGTGTGGATGTGGATGTGGTATGTGTGATGTGTGTGAGTTTATGTGTAGTGCGTATGAGTTTATGTGGTGTTATGTGTAGTGTGTGTGGTATGTGTGCTATGATGAGTGAGTGGTATGCATGTGTGGTGTGTGAGTGGTATGTGTGTAGTGTGTGGGGTGTATATATGCATATGTGTGTGGTGTGTGGGTGTATATGGTGTGTGGTGTGTGTGTGCTGTGTATGTGTAGTGTGTGGTGTGAGTGGTATGTGTGTAGTGTGTGTGTGGTGTATGAGTGGTATGTGTGTAGTGTGTGGGGTGTGTATATGGTGTGTGTGTGCTGTGTATGTG